GTATTGTGGTGTTTCTGTTTAAAAATATCTTATTATAGATATGTAGTTGATTGGTTACATGAGCTCACAGCTAACAGCACTGTAACTCATGCTGCTTCGAAGCTGAGCTAACACACCTATTTTTATTTTTATCTTTTTTCCTAGAGGCCAGCACCGAGAAATTTTGCTTGGAGGTCATTTTAAACAACAAAATCACCCCCACAAAAATGCCCCGAACAAGGCACGCATAGACCACAAGAAGGATGCTTGTGCAGAGCGCAAGAGCTGAAGCAAGAAGACGGACGGAGCATCGTTCAGCTGGAAACTTACTGGGTGAGTCAAGATTTCTCAGGCTCTACACACACCCCTGGGTGACTGAGAAAGGCCATGAGTATGGATCTGGGGGTTACAAGCAAATAGGCAAAGTCACGAATATGGGATCCACAAATATTAAGGATCAGCTCTGTGTACACATGTATACATTGTATGTACACACAATATTTATAGGCATATACACTCAAATGTGGTCTCCAGGAAGGCTGGCCCACCGGAGCCCCCTTCCCTGGTGCCCCGGGCCCTCCAGGGACAAATACAGCTCATGCAGTGAGCACGTGGCCAAACTGTTCTCTCTGGACCATTCACTTTCTCCCGGTTAGTGACAAGGTGAGCACTGAGGCTCACCCAGCGCCCTCCTGCTTGAATCCCACCTGATGCCCACAAGGCAGGCCCAGGGCCCACTTCGGCCATCCCTCTGTCCTGCGTGTGATGATGGGACTCCTCGTCTGTCTGTGCCCTCACCTAGACTCCTGGACCCAGAAGGCAGACACCATGTCGTGTTTGCTTTTGGCATTCCCAGCACTTGGCACAGCTCTCGGTGACCCGAGGACCAGGAGCTGTTGAGTTTTGGAATCACTGAACAGCAGAAACGGGGGGCTATGGGGAACATTCAAGATCACCCAGCCCAGGAGCCTCAAAGCAGTGCCAGTGACCAATCAGCAGCAGCCTCACTTGGGACTTGTTACCATGCAGATTCCGGCCCTCCCCAGGCCTTCTGAACAAGTGGGGCCCCCAATCTGTACTGTGGCAGGTGTTCCAGACTGTGCGGTGTGCCTGCTAATGGTTAGGAGCTCTGAGTCTATTCGACTCCCTTCTAACATTTAGGGATAGAAAGTGGAACTTGGTGAGCCACGCCTTTGGCAAAGGGCAGAGGGGAAGCGAGAAGCCATCTCCTCACTCTTGAATCTGGGCTCCCCTGAGCCCCCAACAGCGGCCAGCCCTTCCCAAGAGACAAGCATGGTTCTCATCTGTGGGGCTTCTCTTCTTCCTCCTTCCCACCCCCCCCCCTTTGTTTTTCTCCTTTTTCCCTACTGTTACCCCCCTCCACCCCCCAATTAGGCTCTCTGGTTAAGGTCATTCCTTTTCATGGCAAATGGGAATAATCTTGCCCCCCACCCACTTCGTTAGGTCTATTCAAAGAGCACATTACCCACCTGCAAGGTGGTACCCAGGCCTCCCCAGAACTAAACCCGCCTCCTGGACCTCCTGGCATCCCCGGGGATGTCTTTAGGGTGGTTGGACTGGGAAAACTTAGGGAAAAGGGCTTGGAAAGTTAAAACAGTCCACCCAGAAGGCAGGTGTTATATTCCAAGTCTCCCCCCTCCAAATTGTCACCCCTATTCCCACCGCCACCCCCTCCTTCAGCTGTGACAACAGGGTTTGTTTTTCTCTGCAGTGGGCTCAGGGTTATACATACAGGCAACTAGGTGAACGTTCTGTGAGGTCGTTAGGGTTTCTCAGAATGAGTCATTTTTTCAAAAATAACAAAACCTCTCGACATCACTTGATTTCAGCATGCCAGGCCGGCCAGGCTCTGGTAACCTCTTTTGCAATTGCATTCCTTCTTTCTCAGGCCCGATGACACACGTGCTCTCCCCCCACCCCCACTCAGCAGGGCCCTGCTGAGAGACAGAAACCCAGCCCAGGATCTCAGGGCCTGGGCCAGAAAATGTTTAGGTCTCAGGTGATGGGAGGGAAATGCCTGGAGGCTCCAGAGGGCAGCGGGTGAGAGGCAACAAGGTTGGAGAGGCCGCCCTGGCCACTGGCCCCGGCTTCTCGCTGGACTCTGACAACCCGCCCCGCTGCACTGCCCTCTCTGCCCTCACTGGGCCTGGCTGAGGATCCTGAGAACGATAACCAGCGTCTGCCTGTCACAGTTTTACAGAGCACAGTTCCCTCCCCGCACCTCGCGCGCAGGTGAGAACACAGGAGACAGAAGTTGAAGGTCTTGCCGAGATCCTTACAGTTGAGGATGCTGAGCATATGCCTATTGAGCCAGGCACTTCTCATCAATCCCAGCAGGTAGGTTAGCATTCGCCCCATTTTCTAGATGGAGAAACTGAGGCTCTGAGAGGTTCGGTAACTTGCCCAAGGTCCCATGGCGAGTGGCAGAGCTGGAGTGCCAGCCTTCAGAGCCTGTGTCTTTTTGAAAGCATCACATGCAAACGCTGCTCTCACAAGCCCTCTGCACATGACTCCCCTGGCACTGAGCGTCAGGTTTGTTACTGGCAGTTTCTGTATCTATGCCCCATGAGTGCCCTAAGGCAAGGAGAGGGGTTTATCTCTATGCCCTCAGCACACAGCTCACTAGGTGAGACACACACACCAGCAGCCATCGCTGGATGAGGTCAGTGATGGACTCGACAGCGAGCCCTCGAACTGCGGACCTGGACGTGTCCGCTCTACACATAGCCATGCCCAGGCTGACCCCGCAGGGCACCGCAGACCTCAGCCCGACGCCTTGGCTTCCTGGCCTCAGTGCAGAGGCCGCCTGCCTGGGCTCCAGCTTTCTCCTTGGTGCAGGTGCGTAGGAGGGCAGGAGGCACGGAGGACCCTCACGCGTGACGGTTCTGAAATTGTGTTGCATTTTCTCAAGGGGTCAGGGCTGAGTGCATTTGTTGGTTGGATAGTATTTGTTGTTAATGGAGTTTGTAACTGGACCAATAGTTTTCTTTGCATTCATTTTTAATTGTTTTTAGTATAGTTGGCATACAATATATTAGTTGCATATATGCAACATAGTGATTTGACATTTATATGATCTACAGTGTAGTCACCCCGATAAGTCTAACCATCTGTCACTGTGTGAAGTTATCACTCTGTTATTGACTATATTTCCCTCTACTCCCTCCCCTCTAGCAACTATCAATTTGTTCCTTCTGAGTCTGTCTTGGTTTGTTTTTGCTCTTTGTTGTGATTTCTGTAAACTCTACATATAAGTGAAATGATGCAGTATTTGCCTTTTTCTGTCTGACGCATTTCATTTAGCATCATACTCAGTCCAGTCATGTAGTCATAATGGCAGGCTTTTATTATTTTTTATGGGTGAATAATATTCCATTGTTACTTTCTTATCCATTCATCTATTGCTGGACACCCAGGTTGCTCCCATATCTTAGCTATGGTAAATAATGCTGCAGTGAACATAAGGGTGCATCTATCCTTTTGAATTCGGGTTTTCATTTTCTTTGGAGAAACACCGGGAAATGGCATTTACTTTTGTCTCTGTGATATCCTTGCACAAAAGAGGAAGTGGAACCTCAGAAGTCTTTATTCTCTGGGACTCCAATCCTATGTGAATGAAGTAGGTACATAGGCACCTGGTAGCCCTACTGCTCTTTGCTTCTGCTTTAGGACTCCTACTAGAGGTCACTTTCCCGCCACGTCCTGCTGCCTCTCCCCAGGCTGGGCTGCTGACTCTCCGGGAGGCTCACCTGAAAGCACGCATTGCTTTCCCATTGAAAGGCCTGCTTATTTGTCTTTCTTCCAGGAGACTCTGCACCCAGGTTTGTTTATCATTTCCTACTCCACTCTGTGCCCTGAGGCTCTTTGTATCTCTAGCACCTTACCAGAGTGCAGCCTGAAGCTGCCACTCAAAAAATGTTTGATGATTGCACAACTCCGCCATTCCCTTCCTCCTGCAGAACCCTCCGCACATCGCCCCAGAGCTAAGCAGCTGTTCTCTTTCTGCGGGTTTGAAGACGCTACGACTCGGAATGCTGACTGGCTCGTCCAACGCCACTCAGCCAGGAGGGGGTAATGGCCACACTCGAATTGCAAGATCACAGTTAAGAAAATGGGTGTGTTGGGGGGAAAGTCTTGAAGGGCCCCCAAAACAGAGCTCTTCAAACCTGTGTGAGCAAAGGAATCTTTGTTTTTATTCATCCCTTAGGGACATCTTACTCAGAATGGTAACATGAAAAGTTTGGAGGAGGACCTGCTCTTAATAAAAGAACCTCAAGAGGAAGAAGGGTACCTGAACCCCATTGGAAAACCACTGATCCAAATAACCGCGCTGAATGCTTACAAGTACATTTACTATTATTGTGACTTTTAAAATGTACTTTTTAATTATAGTTGACCTACATTATTATATTTCATATAATTCCACATTTACATACCTTACAGTGATCACCACAGCAAGTCCAGTAACCATCTGTCACTGTACAGAGAGATGACAATATTGTTGACTCTGTTCCCTATGCTGTACTTTACATCCCCGAGATTTATTTATGTCTCTATGTTCTCCTTCAATGTGATACCTCACTTCTCCAAGATTGTCTTTCTCATTCAAAACCTCCCTCTTGGCCCCCTGTGTCAAGCACTGTGCTCAGTGCCTTTGAGCATGGATCTACTTTGGCCCCCAGTCCTCCTGTTTCCTTGCTGGGAACCTTGGGAAAGTCACTTAATCTCTGCCTGAGCCTTGACTGTTCATTTCATCTGCAAATCGGCCCCAAGGCTGGGATTGAATGTGAGTCAATGGACTCTCGCAGGTAAACACCCCCTGCAGGACTCCCAGCGTTCATGGCGTCTGACTTCACAGCTCTCCAAAACGCCGGGGCGGAAACCACGGGAAGGCCTGGAAATCAGTTCCGAGCACACACACTTTTTTACTTTAATGATGATGTATTTATGGCAACTTGTCTCCCGAGTTGGTTTACATTTATGACATTGATCTTTTAAGATTATATTATATTATGTATTTTTTATTGATTAAGGTATTACAAATGCATCCTTATTCCCCCAGTCCTGCCCTCACCCCCTGCTATGACAGTAATCTTTCTGTTAAGGGTATTGGTTTAAGAATGAAGAAGTGGATTGACGGCATCTCACATACCAAGAAGCGATGTTTCAGATGGGAAACAAATGTGGCTGAAGAACAGCACAGCCCCCAAGTGGCAAGGGCTTGGGAGACCCAGTCCTGGAGACAGAAGCAGGAGGAGGAACCCAGGTAAGGTGAGGAAGGGGCACAGGCATCCCTCTGTGTGGGGCTCCTGTCTCCCCACCTCCAGCCGGCTGACCTCTGGAGGTGACGACAGGTGCAGAGCAGGACAAATTATTCTACCAGGAGGCGATCCACAAGTTGGAGGCCTCCAAGGGAAGCGGGAGACTCAGTGGTCTTGGGAAGGAGCCGCTTTTCTTTTCTGCCCTCCTATCTGCGTCTCAATCGGAAAGGCAACCAATTGCTGGCAGTGGCTGGGTTCTGCAGAAGCCTCTGGGTGCCACCTTCCAAGCCATTGATTATTTTTAACAATAATAATCATCTAACGTGTGTATTGTGGGCCCTGGTCTTTCACAACCTGGTTCTACTGCCTTTGAATTCTGGTGTCTTGGGGAAGAAGAAGGCTAGGCAGGGGCCATCAGCCCTCTTTGACAATTAAGGAAACTGAGGCTGGGATCCCAGAGTGCCGAGGTAGCACCTGGACTAGAACCTGGAGGTTTTCGCTCCTATACCAGTCCTTTCTATTGTAGAACCCTTTCCTCACAGAAACCTAAGCCATGGGAGGGTGTGGGGGGAAGAGCAGAGATGCACTGCCCCTTACCTCGAAGATACTCCCGTTTAGCCAAGGGCTCTGGCAGGCATGCGGCCTCATTGCAGCCAGCATTGCCCAGGGCACCAGAACAGGTTGGCCCAGCCTTCTGTGCTCTCACCAGCCACCCAGGTCTCTCATCTTCCTTCTGTGGTTGGGTCATGGAAGGCAGATTCCCCTGGGGTACCCATACCTGCCAGAAGTCCTGGAGACTGAGGTGAAGTTCAGGGGTCTTGAGGCCAAGGTTTAGACAGTGTCTCTCTCTCTCTCTGGATGCAAATAATAATCATCATCACATAACTAAGGAAGTTCTGGAAGCCATCTTGCAACCAAAAATAGAACTAGCAAAGTGAAGAAGTAGAGCCAAACCTGGTCTTCCCCGGCATCCTTGTGCTGCTGGGTAGATCGCCTTCAAGCATTGCATGAAGCACATGCTCTAGACTTTTTATTTACATAAGACAATAAATCCTTTGTTATACAATATAAGTCAGCTTGAACTAGGTTCAACCAAACGAGTCCTGATACTGCCCCTCTAGCTCTGAAATACAATATAATATTTAACACCATCAGAGGCAGTGCTTCAGCTGTGATGTCAGCCAGGTAAGTGTTGTTTGCCTCATTAAGGCCAATGCAAAATAGAAATGAGACTTCAGCTCGCCTCTCCATAGCTCATCCCCATCCCTACCTCGCCCATTGCAACACAATACAACTTGCTAGAAGAATGTGTTGGTTTTAAAACATGTCCACAGATTCTTTGTCCTACTCACCTCAAAAGATGTAGGCTAATTTCTTTCCTCTGGAATGTGGTCCAGCTTTAATGACTCATTCCTAATTAATAAAAGAAAGTAGAAGTGACACTGTGATTTCTAAGGCTACATCACAAAGGCAGTGCTGCTTCCACTGGTGCTCCTCCCGGGAGCCTAGCCGCCATGTTGTACTAAGGAAGCCCCAGCCACACAAAGAGGCTATTAAAGACGTTTGACTGACAGTCCCGCCAGCAGCAACTCTAGACCCACCTTCAGCTGAAACTGAGTGGAGCTAAGATAAGTGATTCCCTGCTGACTCAGAAGCCAAGTAAATGTTGTTTTATGGCACTAAATTTTTAGGGTTTTTTAAATGCAGCAATAGAGAGCTGGATCAAAAAATAGTTATAACACATGTATGCTTTTCATTTCATCCGTTTCTCCCTATGGTGGTTGTTGAAGCCCCATTTTATAGATGGGAAAACTCAGGTTCAGAGAATGAAAGAGACCAGCCCATGGTTCTGTTACAAAGCTGGGGGTTTAACTCATTCCTCAAAGACCTCCATCCTTCTGAAAATAACTTCAGCGGACATTTTCTTACTTACTGTAGTCCTCCGGGGAGGGGGAGGAGGAACTAAGTAAATCAAGCTATGGCATCTGCCACAAGAAAGCTCCCAGAAAGAAGGAAAAGCACAGCAGTCAGATGGCAGGAACAAGTGGGCAGTTATCTTCCAGGGGATGCTACCATAACCAATCAGCTCCAGGCATTCTCAGTTCAGGGGTCATAATTTACATTCTCATTGTCTAGTTTTCCATTTGGGGACAAAGGAGTGCAGGAACCTGGACTGGCAAGACCCCAGGGTGGCACGCAGTGAGGGAAGGGGAGATCCCAAAAAGAAAATGAAGGATGTGGACAGCAGACAAGTCCGCACACCTCCCTTGTTAGATGGGTGCTCCCCTGAGCCAGAATCCCCAACTTTCTCATCCATGAACCTGCTGCTCTACCCCGCAAAACAACCCACTCAACAAATTCTTCAGGACATGGATGATTTCATTCTTCGGGTTTCCCTTTCTGTGGATTCCTGTCCATTGTAATTTCATCCTCATAGGGAGAACATGGGCCTGGGAGCCAGGAAGACCAAAGGTGGAATTCCAGCTTCACTAACCCTCTCTCTGTGGCTTTGGTCAAGACACTTTTATCTGCAAAATAGAATTAAACAATACACTGCCTGTAAAGCACTTGGCACATAAAAAGAGTAGAACTTTGCAGTGCCTGCTAATTCATCCTAAAAATAGCTAACTCTTCTCTGTACATTTTGTCAGCTCAGCACATCCCAGCTAGGGAACTGAGATTGTGAAAGGCAGCCTCTCTCAATAGGGGTCAAATATTCTTCTCACCCGAGAGTAACTCACGGAAGACGCACATGAAGATAAACAAATGGTCCAGCAGTGCAAGCTCATCCCACCCAGGCTGTGGTCTGGCTGTCTGGATCATCAAAGATAAGAGGCAACTGGCACATTCTACTTCCTAGAAAGAAATATGAGAAAAATATTCCTTATTAAATCAGTCATTCAAGGTCATCTGAAAAACAGTTACTGAATGTTACCAGCTCAGAAACTGGTAAATGCAAAAGTAAGTGTAGATCTCATGGTCAAGCTATTTATTGAAATCTTCAAGCATTCCACTATCATCACCACACTTATTGAGCACTTAGGTGTCACTCATAGTTCCAAAACTTTACATACATCATTATTAATCTTGACCTTAAGTTCATGAGAGGTTCTTTATCCCATTCTACTGGAAACCCCAGAATATCTAGAAGTTAAATAACTTATTTGGGCTCTTGAGAAACTCCCTACCTGGAAAAATTTCCATCATTTCTAACATAGGAAGGGTCATTGGTTGCCACAGAAACAGCATAAGAATTTAAATATAATGCCACTTGGCTGCTGGCAGGCTAATAACACCCTCTGGGCTTTTTTTTTCTTTCCTTGCTTAGGCTGTTCCCTCACCACAAAAGGTCTTTCCCACCAATTTCTTGGAGTAGCTACAATCTACTCATCTTTCAAAGCCCAACTCCATCAGCACCACCTAGGCATAATCTCTCAAGCTTCTGTACTTGCCCATCTCTGTTAACCCTTACATTCTGCCAAAAGTTATGATTGGCTTGCATTTGGCTTAGTTGTCTCCATTAAATGAGTTCTCCTTCAAATCAGAGTGCATGCTTTAGTCAACTCTGGCATTTGTGTGCGAATTTAATGGGCACTAAGCCCATAGTTGCCTGGCTCATAGCCCAAGGTAGGTGCTTGATAGCCATGTACAGAATGGGGTCAGATGTGGAAATTGACAAAATGAGACAAGGCAAGGAGAAATGCTTGCATCCCAGAGCTAAAGCATGCTGAGATGCCAGCAGGTGCTATGAGCAAGAAAGGCCAGCAGCTGAGACAACCAAGACACTCTCAGATTTAAGTTAGACTGTGCTCCAACTTGGCCAACTCCATCCTCTCGAGCAAGCTGCTGGATTCCCCAGTTGCCACCCACAGTACATGAAAAGCAGAAGTTACATTCTTATTTTGGGCAACTTTTGGGAATAACCACAGCATTAGGCGCTATGGCTTCTACACTATCTTCTGCCATTCTCTCCCAATCCAACCTTTTCCTGCCATCCACAGGAGAAAAATCTAAATGTGTCTCACTTTAAAAGCTTTGTTCATTAAATACAAATTTACAAAAAGTATAGATATCAGGTTGTAGTAGTGATTTGCATTCCAGGGTCAACACAGAGATCGAGTGATGGGGGAATATTTGAGAGATAGAATGGGGGGTTCTATTGAGAATCTGAAATTTGCCACCTCCCCCTGAATACCTTCTCATCTGCTATGCCTCTAGAGTTTATTTTCACAAAATATGTACTGACTCATGAGAAGTAAAGAATCCTCATGATCAAATGAGTTTAAAAAGTGTGCTGGCTCTGTCCTGCTCTTAAAGATCCTCCTGATCACTGTTTGGTTATCCAAAAGTTTTACTCTATTGAACCCTTCTTTTAGAAATGCTGTTGACCACAGATCCTGTTTATTCCGGAATTTCTAAAACCATGCCATAGAATTTCTGAGAAAGACAATAAAATGAAGCGGATAAGAGCTTGGTGTTCGTGGCCAAATAGCCTGGGTTCGGATCTCAGCAATGCCATTCACTCTCAATGTGACACGGGAATGCTACTGTCCCCATGCTCTGGGCTTTCATTTCATCATCTTCAAAGTAGGAATGATAAGATCTACCTCATCAGACAGGGTGGATGTGAGGATTGAAAGTATTAACACATGTAAAGTTCTTAGAATAGATCCTGTATATAGTAATGCTCAATAAAAATGTGCTTGCATTTATTTAAAAGGTAGGGCTCACATATCATCCAACACCATGAAGACAGAGGTATTAAACATCTCATAATTTCAGCTCAACCCCAAATTTCTGGGAAACAGTAGAATGTAATGTGACAATACTAGGAAAATAAAGTTAAATCCAAGAAGCGAGGGTGTTAAGAAAAGCATGACCAACTCTTGATGGTGACTCCCAAACAATGGATGAGAGAACAAACAATGGATGAGAGAAGTGGGCCAAGACTCTTGATGGGGGACATCAGCTGTGGGTAAAGCCCAGTCACACCACAAGCATGCTGTGTGATCCCAGGCAAGAACCCTAACCTCTCTGTGCCTAGGAATAAGAATAGTGCTAACCTTTTAAAATTCTTGTGAGGATTAAGTGAGTCATTAAATGAACAGCGTCTGAATTCTAGCAAATAAAGGTGGCCCTGATTTTTCAAGTCTTAAAGTGATAATGCCAATGTTTTTTGCTCTTAGTTTTTTTCTTGGAAACATATAGACTTAGAGATTCTAAAACCAAGGGATGCCTGAGAAGTCATCCAATGCAGCATCTTTATTTTGCTGATAAGGAAACAAGGCCCAGAAAGAGCAAGCATTTCCTCAGGTCACATGGCAAGTGAGAGGGGAAGAAAAGGGACAGCCTTCCTTCAGTGGCACAAACAAAAAGTGGGTAACCTTTCCTGGGTTTGGATCCCAGCAGTGCCATTCCTCCCCATCCAACTTAGGTGTCACCCACAGTTCCAAAGCTTCACATACATCATTCATACATCAGACTCAGAAGTAAATGTTGGGGATGGGGAGGAAGTGGGTCTGTTGAGAGACATGCGAATGGCAGAAAGTGAATGTGCGATCCAGGAGAGCAGAGGACAGCCTTTTGGAAACATGGACCAGAACCCAAAGGCATTGTGTTGGGTCATGTCCTCACAGCAGTGCAAGAATGCCTGACCCCGAGCAACAGAAAGAACAACTTCGATTCGCCTGTGTGCACTCTACACTGCCTTTGAAGGACGTTTGCAATCCACATCTCACTGGCTTTTCTCCTCCTAACAAGCTCATATCATAGTCGTGTTATCCTGATTTTCTAATATATTCAGAAAAGTTAATAAGCTGGTAAGCAGCTCCGGGAATATGCCAAGCCCCCACTGCTGTGAGCCACGCCTGACCTGGAGCCATCCACTCCATATGGATGGGATGCTAACTCTAATGCAAGAATTTAACATACACTTTAAACATTTGCAGTCACAAAATAGTTCTCCTGTGATGAGAATTATTCTATCTCCAGTCCCATCTTCTTTGAGGAACTTTCCCTGACCAGCTCAATCCAACAAGCCCTCCCCACTACTCTGAACACCACCAGGGCTTTCTGTCTGCCCTCTGAGGGCCCCTGTCCATCACTGCCTGGTTTTAGAGGAGAAAGGCTCAATATCTCATCATTCAAATCCAGTTTCACTCACAGTCCCTTTGCACCTACAATGCCAGGCTCCATGTTGGACAATGTTCACCTCCAGTCTCATTTGATTCTTGCAGCCACCCAAGAACACCTGTCTGATCACTGCCTCATTGCTCAGACCAGGGTGGACACATAGTAGGTGCTCTGTGCATATGTATATTGCACAAGAGAATGAATTATTGGACTCCTTTGGCATCCTGGGCAGAGGGAAGGATACGCAGAAAGCAGCGGGCTGAGAGGAGAGAGGGGAAGACAGCAGTTCTGAAGGAGGAACTTCGAGCTGCCCTCTGGTGCCCTGGTGCAGATGCTGATCTTCCCCCTCCTCCTCCCCTTAGTGGAGAGCACCCTGGAACCACCCAGAGAAGGCACAAAATTGAAAACCAGACCTGGAATCTTTAAAGGCAAAACAAACCTCAGAGTGCCAGGTCTGCCAATCTGCTGCTTCATTCACAGCAAAGAGATGAGATAAAGGAGAGGGCTGGAATTCTTCCCAAGAAAGGGAAACTCAGGTCTAATGGAGCTCTGATAGTAACAATAACAGCCAGTATATCTGCGAAGTTTCCAGTAAAAAAAAAGAAAAAAAAAATTACTGCAGGGGAGTGGGCTATGCAGTGGAAAAGATCAGCCTTTGGGGCACAGAACGGGGCAGGGAATGGATCTGGGGGGACCACAGAAAAGAACAGGCAGAGGTGACCATCTAATAATCATTGAGAGCTTCTCCCACTGCCTGGGCAGAGGCTGACACAGATGAGACCCTCAGCACATATTTGGTGAACAACTGAATTAGAATAAAAGCTTGCCAGGCATTTCCAAGTCCCAACTCCCAGGGCCCCTACAAACTGCTTTCTCACAATACTCAGCATGAGCATCAAAGGTGCATAGAAACTTACACACACACACACTCCTACAAGTTCTAGCTATATGCTGAGCAGGTCTTAAATCTTTGAAATTCATGGTACCACTCCCTGTGAGATAAGCTTTGGTGACTATTATTCAGACATGGAAACTGAGGCTTAAAAAGATTAATTAGTAGCTTTCCCAGGGTGACTCAGGGCTCCACCCAGGTGAGCTTACCTCGGAGGTCCAGGCTTCAACAACCATGTTCTGATCCCTGCTGATGGGAGTTAAGGAATCATGGTCAAATGGAACTCTCCCTACCGTCTCCATGTGTGTGGGAGATGATGAGTGTAGTTATGCACATCGGCGGTCCCTCGGTGCAGAATGGAATCACTTTGGGCTGACCTGAGATGTTCCACACAGCCTGCCTGAAGGCAGAGGAATGGCACAGGCCTTCCAAAGTCTCCCTCTGACCCGTGTAACTAGGGAAGCATCTACCTCCTTCCTCACTCCCTACAAATCAATGAGTATCCATTAATGCCAGGTGGGGGCCTGCAAAAGCCAATCAGCTGGAAGTGCCAACTTCTTTGGATACTATCAGAGTATAGGGCCCTGGTCTGCAAACTGCGGCTTGAGAGCCACATGTGGCTCTTTGGCCCCTTGAGTGTGGCTCTTCCACAAAATACCACAGCCTGGGTGAGTCTATTTTGAAGAAGTGGCATTAGAAGAAATTTAAGTTTAAAAAATTTGGCTCTCAAAAGAGATTTCCATCGTTGTACTGTTGATATCTGGCTCTGTTGACTAATGAGTTTGCCGACCACTGGTATAAGGGAATTGGCAATGGTGGCTGGGGACAGAAT